AAGGAATCAAGTGTGGAGACCAGCAGTCAAAGGTAAGTACATGCAGCTGGTAATGATATGGCAATCAATTCATAGGGTCTTGGGGGCTCTATTTAGATCATTCCAAGAGGCAATAGCTGCGTCCCTTCTATGTGGAGTGGGAGTTCTGGTCTTTGATCACAAATCTGAAAGCATTTGTATCTTGTATCTTTTAATTTAGAGCAGAATGGGAGGGAAAGGTTCATGAAGATTTAGCAAGATTTAATGCTCTATTTCTATCAGCAGAAGCTGAAACTGATAGTTCCCAAACTCTCTGTGCTCTAATAATTTTTTTAAAATGTAGTTTTAGGAAGTAAATGTAGCCTTTGAAACAATGCAGGGAATTACAGCTTTAATGGAATCTGTACTGGAGATAAAATGTGAAGCACTACTCTTGATAAAGTGTATTTTATTCCTAATAAAACTTTGGTCCTTCTAAAAATCCTGAAGAGGAAAAAAGAAAACCCTCTTAGATCAGTGTAGGACTGTTATAGCTGAGAGTCATTCTGTTTCAAAGATCGAGAAAAAAATATGGCCTAATTTGTAATAGTTGGCATGCAGAATTGTGCACACACATTTCCATGTGTTTGAGCTGAAAGCAAAAATTGGGATTGTGTCCTGTAGCTATATCGTGGTCTCTTATGTCTATGCATGGATGATAATTTATTAATACAGTTTACAGTAAATGAATAAAAACACCTGGAAACATAGAATTAGACAATAAGGCCACCAACATCTGCCTGCCTATTTTGCAGTTGTGGGAAATTAGCCAGGTGGAATACACCTACCTTCCCCTGAGTCAGTGCTTCAGGCGGATATGAAAAACTCCAACGTCTCTGACCAAATGCCCAGGTGAAGATTCCTTCTCATTCCCAAATCTGAGGATCAGTAAATCCCTGTGCATATAGGGTTTTACACAAAGTTCACTGGCTTCAACGGGAGACTTTCCATTGACTTCAGAGTGGTTTGGGTCAGGCCCATAAGAACGAATCCTATATTAAGCATCTATCTTCATGTATAACCTAAATTACCTTTTTATGTCCACATGCATTTCTTCTTCAGGCTTAGTAAGGTTCTGCTAGTAATCCATGACATGTAAATATTGTTTATCCCATGAAAGGGGTAGAGGGAGAGAAAGCCCTCCATCTAATTAACCAAAACTCTTTTTCTCTTGTGAATAAATCTTACACTTGTAGAGTCCCTAATGGAAATTACTGCTGATAATTGGGGCAGTGTTAGCTTAGCATTAATGTGGCATTTCTAATATATTTTTTGCATTGAATAGTTACTATATATTCCAGTAAAAATATAAATAATACATCATAGATCTGTATGCCTGTGTATATATTATAGACAGATAAACATTCGCTATAGGTATCATATAATGTCAACTTATTAAGCTATTAAAATCAGGCAAGTATAAAGATAAATATTATATCAAACAGATGTAGAGTGGTCACACTTTTAAAAACTTGTCACTAGCTCTAGAGAACAAAACGTTATCTTAGTATCTGTAAATGTAATGAATGCTGCAGTTTGGTAAGACAAATTTGGAAAAATGTTAAGCCTGACAACCGCATGTATAATATGTTTGTAATCAGGACATTTTGATTTAGGAGCCTAACTTTAGGTTTTTTTAAATTTGGCATGTGTATTTTCATGATCACTTATTTAAGTGCTGTCCAAGTTTGCCAGTGTCATGACTTCAAAATGTATTTTCAGTAATGAAATGCTGTTGGGCCCGACAACAGACATTCCCAACAACACTGCACAGCATGTGTGTCAACTGTGGGCTTTTGTGTATGCTGCCATGGGGATGGCATGGATATGGGGCAGATCCTCAGTTGGTGTAACCCCATTGACTTTAATGAAGCTACACTTGATTTACACCAGGTGAGGATCTGACCCTTAATGTTGCAGGAGGTGTGGTATTGGGTACCTTTATTTTACACCTTCCTTGCACTTACTTACCACTACCAGAAGCTATCCTTCATGGGACTCTTCCTTTCACATGCAGTATTTTTGACTGATGCACACTCTGCCCTCCCACTCATTACAGAAGAAAAACTAGACTCCATTCGCACTACCACAGAATGCCAATGGGGATTCATTGAGACTACTTTCCTATGTATACATGTTTTCTGGGCAGCTTACATCAGATGTCTAACTTACATCCCCAAGAGAGACAGAATTTGGGCCAATGAATTTGTGTTTCATGGAGCTTTTTTGGGACTGTGTATTTAAACGTTTGTAAGTAAATAAAGCCTCATTATGAATCACAATGACCATAAATGTGGCAGTCATTCTGAATCAGTCATATTTTCCATTACATCCATTTTATGGCTGTTTCCAGTTTTGTTTTTAAATTATTTTTGAATAAAAAAACTTGAATGTTCTTAGCCCAAGAATATATTTTTTAGTAAATTTCCTTCCCATCATCCAAAATGTGGTCTGTATAAATGAATAAAAGGAATAATAGCTCATCACTATGTTACTTTTATATGTCCCTTGAACTCAGAGTTGGCTCGAATTATTAAAAGGGCAAATGATTCATTAATAATAACACATTTGCTTATAGCAATTTGGCCAAATTAGGGACTCATCCTGCAACCCTTACTCATACTAGATGCTTTTATGCTTGGAAATATTTGAGAACAGGTAGCAGAATTGGGCCCAATGGTTTTAAAACTGCAGGGAGATGTAACTTTGAAAAGTTTCTCCTTGACGTGAGGTGTAATTGGTTTTACAATGATTTTTGATAGAAATAGCAGGTCAAAACCACGTGTTAAAAATGGCCTAAAACTATACTTAGGGTACATCTGCACAGCAAAAAGAGACCTGCGGTAATGAGTCTGAGAGCCCAGGTCAACTGATTTGGGCTTGCAGAGCTCATGCTATGGAGATAAAAATAATAGTATAAACATTTGGGTTCTGGCTGGAACCCAGGCTCTGAAATCTAGTGAGGGGCCAAGTCCCGGAACTCTACCACCAGCCTGAGCCCGAACATCTACACTGTTATTTTTAGCCCCGTAGCCTGAACCTGAGTCAATTGACTGGGCTCTGAAACTCGCTGCCGTGTTTGGGTTTGTTTTTTGTTTGTTTTGCAGTGCAGCCATGCCCTTTGACAATATTTCATAATGCCAAGTGAGCCTTTAAGATCTATCCAATAAATGAGACACATTTTTCAAGCTGTCTCAGTACGCATGTTTACGCAACAATCTGTCAGACATCTATTGGAAAAGAAAGAGGGGGAGGAAGTAATAGATGTAAGAAAGGCCATTCTGTTACAAGGCACAGAAGACTGAATATCTCAGTTTGTCATCAATCTGAATATACTCTTAGGAGTGATGTCCTGCTGTGATCCTTGAGGTCAGTACTGCAGCTGTTCACAGTCCTCACATTTTCATGTCAGAGGGGCTGATGGAAGGATGTTCTCAACAGAGAGTCATCAACTCTGGACAATACATTCTCCACCAGTCTAACAAACCCAGTGTTTGCTGGATCTTTAAGGCAAGATCCACCCACACAGTAGTTTAGTTTCCTGAGAGCCCTAAGACTTTGGTCTAATTCCAGTTGTTGGGGTTAGTGTGGCGGGGGTGACTGGAGGGTGCTAAGTGATACACAGGAGGTCAGCTTATCAGGGGTTGAAAACCTTTCAGAAGTGGTGTGCCGAGTCTTCATTTATTCACTCTGATTTAAGGTTTCGCATGCCAGTAATACATTAACGTTTTTAGAAGGTCTTTTTCTATAAGTCTATAATATATAACTAAACTATTGTTGTATGTAAAGTAAATAAGGTTTTTAAAATGTTTAAGAAGATTCATTTAAAATTAAATTAAAATGCAGAGCCCCCCTGGCCAGTGGCCAGGACTCCAGCAGTGTGAGTGCCACTGCAAATCAGCTCGCGTGCCGCCTTTGGCACGCATGCCATAGGTTGCCTACCCCTGGCTTAGATAATCTGATGGTCCCTTCTGGCCTTAAACTCTGTCTCTGTGTTTCCATAGCTATTTTCTCAGTGGGGGAGATATCAGGTGTAGTAGTTCAGACATTTGACTTAAAGTCATTTGTAGTACACCTCTACCCTGATATAACGCTGTCCTTGGGAGCCAAAAAATCTAACCGCGTTATAGGTGAAACCGCGTTATATCAAACTTGCTTTGATCCGCCAGAGTGCACAACCCTCCCCCTCCCTCCCCCGAGTGCTGCTTTACCATGTTATATCCAAATTCATGTTATATCGGGTCGCGTTATATCGGGGTAGAGGTGTATTAGATTTTGTATGTGATCTCACGGCATTCTTTTCTTGATGCATTTATAAATAAAATAGGCCAGATCCTTGGCTGGTGTAAATTGGGGAAGCTCTGTTATCTTCAGTAGACCTATGCCTATTTACATCAGCTCAAGATCTGACAAAAAATCTGAGTGGAGTTCTATTTTCACACATTTATATAATATATAATGAAGCTGCTGTATGTTAACTAATGTAATGAGATCTTACTGAGAGAGACGAGACAGAATTATAATGTTTAAATAATAATTTTTTGGTTAAAAACTAGTATGGATTTTGAAAAAAAATGATTTTTCCCTTAACCTCTTTTACCCTTTTATGAAAGCAATTATTTGAGCTTAAGTTACTTTATTGCTGATCACCTTAAAAATTAGAAAAAGTGAGTTATTTTTGAAATCTATGTTTACTTTCCCTTGAAATAAAGTTATTTTAAGTATTTTTTCTTTTCTCTCAATATGACTTCATTAATACACACTAAAATGCCAGTTTCATCTGCATCTGTATCAGAAAGCAGTGTAAAGACAGGACTTGGAGATTTTTTAGCACATTTTTTCTATACTTTATTCAAAATGTAACTCTAGGTGCCCATCCTGTACTTCTATAGAGAAAAAAAGATGGTTTGCAGAAGGCCTCAAAGTAATCTTCCCCTCCATCTTTGCTAATGACCCCCTTTCTTCTTTTTTCCTGGTAACAGTGGCACCAAACTGGTCACTTCAAGTGGAGATACAACAGTACGGATATGGGACTTCACAAAGGGTGAATGTATTCTGACTTTAGAAGGACACAGCCGTGCAGTCTGGGACTGCTCATGGCACTCCTGTGGAGATTTTGTGGCTTCTGCTTCCATGGACAACACCAGCAAAATATGGGACATTAACAGGTGTGTACTTATTGAAAATCATTGTGTAACTGATTGATAACTATAATTAACAGCAAAATGTTGTATGTTTTAGGTCACTTGTTATGGTATGTTTTAGAGCTATATATTTAGGCCCCTTTCCAGTAAAGCACGTGGTTGGCTTTCAGCATGAGTAGTCCCAGTGATATCAACATTAGATTAAGAATGTATGTGCTTTGCTAGATCAGGGCTTTAGTAAGCTGAGTGGTGGGAAGCAGGTAATTTAGAGTATTTCAGAACAAAATTGTTTTATTCTGCATCTGAATTTCCTTCGTGATCAATGCTTTGTGAGCCAGAAACTTAAATGTGTGTTTTCTAGGCTTTGTTTTGGCGCACGACTACACAACACTTTTAAAACTAAGACTAGACCAGTAAAACAATATTTCACTTATTTTAGTTGTATTGTAAGTGTGATTCCTGACTGACTAAAGGACACATGCCCTATATCTAGACATGCCATACCCAGGGAAAAAACGCAGAATTTTGGCTTGCTTTTGGCTTAATTGGCTTGTGAGTTGCTTGTTGGCTAGTTTTTGGCTTGTAGCTTGTTACTTGTTTGGCTTGTAGCTTGTTGCTTCTTTTTTTTTTTTTTTGATCGGCTCCTGGCAAGCAGGGGCAACGGGGGGCAAGCAGGGGTAAGGGGAGAGAGAGAGTCGGGGTGCACAGCAGGCCCACCACAGTCCCAGACTGCACACCGGGGGGCTCTAGTCACACAGAGTGTTGGGGTTCTTAGGGATTGGCTTGTTTTGAAATAGGATTAGCTTGGTCTCTGGTTTATTGTTAAAGTCGGGGTGCTTATTTACCATGTGAAAGTTGGCAACTGTGCCTATATCCTTAATTTCCTTCTTTGGTCAAATTAGAGCCCACTTTATAGAAGACACTTCTAGAAATACTTGTGTGTTTCTACCTACAGCTCAGCTAATAATTGCTCCACTTTAATGAGATGGCATTATATATTTCTTAATTTGCATATATGACTCCTTGTCCCAATCTAATCTCCCTCACCCCGCAGTTCTGGCTTGTGTCCCTTCTGCATTTGAACCAGGCCGTTTTCTCTTCCATGCTTTCTGGCCCCAGCCGGGGGTCATTGAGAGCACAGGAGAGACAGTCTTCTGCTTTCATTTTCCCTCCTAAACCAGGCCTGGCCTACAGCAGTCCAGAGGTGCAATTGCAGGGAAAATCCTATTCAGTCTTGGGCTGGCGCATGCTCAGGTCTTCAGAGTTTTGTACCTTGCCTGCAAAAGTCTAGCAACTCTCTGTAGAGCATCTGTGAACTGCAGTTTTTCAAAGCCTTAAAATTTGTCCAAATTTGGGCACATTTTCACAGGGACGGCAAAAAGCACATCCCCGGCACAAAGGAACCTCTCCTGCAAAATTACAAGTCTCTGCTCCAAAGCGTGGGGGCACTAGATCACTTCAAAGAAAGTTTGCCAGATTTTTTTATCATGAACAAAGCACTGTATTTTTCACTAGCCTTGTCCTTGGGAATGGATGAACCATTATAACTGAAATAAATAAATAAATAAATTTGCAGCACGCATCCAGCTTGTGAAATTTAAGCCCAAACAATGAAAGTTTAGCGAAGTTATAGGCAACCGAAAACAGGTTTTTTACAATGGGAAGTGTCGGGCAACCTTAATAAGAGGCAGTTCTACCAGCCTAACTATAGCAGCCGTCTTTATGAAAAGAAGTAATGGTTGGCATTAGGTTGAAACTCCTCATGTCTTCATGTATTGATCGTTTGTGTAGTTGCCTCTCTTCTTAACTTCTTGTAACTTGATTATCTTTCAGCATAATTTAAAACATATTCGTGACCTCTAATGAATAGTGCTAAGAATAGCTTTAATTGTATGTCTGAATGGTTTTAAATTTGCTTAGGGGTGGTTACGTTTTAGACATCTTAAAATGTCTCCACCAAGGAAGCTTTTGTTGTCAGAGAAATTAACGCAAAGCTTCACCACCAACCCTAGCCTCCCACTCACACAAATTTGCAGCTGGCCTTTCTACCTTCTCTGTACAGTCTGATGTACATTTTGCATTCAGCAGTGGGTGAGGCTCAGCTGCTCCTACAACCACAAGTAAGCAGCACAGGGACAATGTGAAAGACATAATGGTCAAAATCTTAAATAATGAGAAAGTTTAAATGCTTAGCTAGAGTCGGAGGTGGTACAAGAATGTAGCACAATATACAAAGTCAGACTTAGGAGACTCAATGGTTATTAAATTAGGATGCTTACGTGGAAACTTCATTGGTTGAGTTTTCTGTGTTGTAACAGTAGCCTGCGTTCTTACTTATTTACTTTAATTTGATCATATTGAGTCCAAAAGGCAATAATAGAATGTGCCCAGCTACTCTACTGAAGTTAGATCTCTTTGCACGATGTACTGTAGGAAAGATTTTCTGTATATACAGTATGTACAGACTGGGTATAGAAGACCTTTGGAAATGCTGATCCCCACAAATAGACAAGTATTTACTATTCCCTACTGAAGACATAAAAAGAGAATATTTTGCTTGTCTCATAAAATGCCTCGAGCTGGGTATAAAAAAATGGGAAGGCACTGAAAATTAGATTGTGTTTGAAAATGTTGACCTTAAAATTTTGCACACTGGTCCATGCCACATGAGTCAGGATTCTCTGTGCATATTTTATCCATGATACTCCCACTCCTTGAATACTGCACGCAGTTCTGGTCATCCCATTTCAAAAGAGACCTATTAGAATTTGAAAGCGTATAGAGAAATGATTAGGGGTACGAAATAGCTTCTATATGAAAAGTGTTAAAAAAGACAGCACTGTTCATCTATTATGTCACAAAAGACAACATATTAATAATCATTTCATTATGAATGTATTTCTATTGCGGAAGCACTCATTGGCCCCAGTCAGCACTTGGACCCCTACTATGCTAGGCAGAGCACACAGATGTAATGAAAACACCCTCCCTTCCAAAAAGAACTTACAGATCACATGAAGTGCTTTTTAAAACTTACATTGCTTCAACTGTGGCTGTAGGTGCAAAGAAGCTACTCCCTATGTAAACTTAATGGGCCCTTTGTACCAAAGGGGGAAAACTGTCTTACTGGCAGCTGGAGATTCCCCTTGTCTGGAGGCTGCTGTTGGGGATAAACCAAACCCCTAGCTACAATCAGGGGAAAGTAAAGGTGATGCCACTTGCCAAGCTTCACCTATTGCCCCTACAACTCTGGCTGAGGTCAGTGTACTCCCCATTCAAGTACCACATGAAAAAGAGGGTCACAGTCCTACTGCTGAGGGAGATGAGCTGGGGTCGAGACTCCAGATGGTATGAAAGGGAGGCGTGCATTCTCTGCCCCCTCTCTGACAGTGACGCTCATCACATGCCATCAGGAACAGCATAGGGAGCCCGTAACACTCGCTTGCATGGCATTCCTATCTGTTCTGTGGAACTCCACAGTGTGGATCTTGACAGACCATGCATCTGCAATGCATTACATAAACAAGCATCCCTTTGCCAGGAAGCTATCAAGCTATTGACATGGTGCCATCACCACAGGATAATCCCATTGAACAGTTCTGGCAGAAATTTCCCTCCCAAAATAGAGCCTGAAGCAGACACCTGCCCTGAAAAATTTCATTCTAACGGCAGAAAGATATCAGCCCTGCCTGTAGCAACAGACACAGCTGTGTGGTTGCTCGGGTTCTTTCCTCTTACATTTTCATACATTTCAATGCTTTATATTTGAAATAGAACAGATTTATCTGAACACAGGTTCCAAATGAGTACTGCCATAGAGTAAACACGGATCCGGTAGCCCCTCTCCTGTCTCCACTCTATGCTGGTATAGTCAGAGCTGAAACCAACAAATGGAGGGAATCCCATGGTGCTGATAGCTTAGTGTGAACCCTGTGACACCTGTCAGATTTTACCCTGTAAGTGGGTTTGGCTGAATTAGAAAAATTTCAGTTGTGAGCCAACAAATGGCTCAAAATAAAACCTTTTCTGATGTGCTCTCCCTAGTGAAAATTGCCCAAGTACTGAGCCAGGTGGTGCTGAGTTCAGTAGACATCAAAGAGAAGTCTGGTGTCTGTTCCTGACTGCTGCTTCCCATTACCAGAGCCTCCAACTCCACTAATCTGACAGTGTGGCCACTTTCCATTTTCCCTTTATTTTAAAAAATCTATATTGCATGCTGTTTACAGCTCCCAATTCAACCTTCCTAAAAGAAAGTACAGCTTGTGTTACTCCCAGCAGCCAGCCACTTTCACGTCCCCACAACTGAGCTGCTGCTTCTTCAGCTGCTTCTCGTCAGCAGACTGATGTAAAGATTTTGTTTTACTATTGGACAGGCTGAATCCAGAGCATAGTAAGCTCCACATGTACCCTTTTACAGAATGTGAAAAGTAGGCCAGCCACCACTGAGGGAAAGGGGATCTGATGACAGCAAGGCATGATGAGATAGAATATAGGAGATCCAACCTACAGCTCCAATCCTGCAAGACAATCAGATGGAGTTGACCCTAATTCCACATTGACTGCTCACAGGTGAAGGGTCATTCTCTACATAATGGTACTATATAAATCCATGATACTCCCACTCCTTGAATACTGCACGCAGTTCTGGTCATCCCATTTCAAAACAGACATATTAGAATTTGAAAGAGTATAGAGAAAGGCAACAGAACTGATTAGGGGTACGGAATAGCTTCTATATGAAGAGTGATTAAAAAGACAGCACTGTTCATCTTGGAGGAGATACAACTGAGGGGTCTACAATAAACATCTATAAAATCATGAATGGTGTGAAGAAAGTGAAATAAGGAAGTGTTATTTTCACCCCTTCACGTAACGTAAGAATCAGGAGTCACTCAATGAAATGAATAGGCAGTAGGTTTAAAACAAAGGAAGTACTTCTTCACAAAACACACAGTCAGCCTCTGGAACTCATTGCTAGGGGATGTTGTGAAGGCCAAAAGTATAACTGGGTTCAAAATTAATTA